GAGCTTGGTAAATGTAAGGCTGTAAGAACAGAAGAGAGAACTTCTTAGTAGTAGCCTGGTTAAACTCTACATGACAGTATTTGATACATTTTTCTCTTTCTTGAAATATTTTTCTCTTTCTTGGAAGAGGACTGGTGGAATAATGATAAAACAACAAGAAGAAAGTGTGTGTGTGTGTGTGTGTGTGTGTGCGTGCATGCATGTGTGTGCACTCATGCACGCACGCATGGTATGAGAGGACAGACTAGAAGGAAGCATGTCTTGGAGATGACAGGGCATAAGTGTACAATTAAGAGGAGGACGTGCATGCATGTGTGTGCACTCATGCACGCACGCATGGTATGAGAGAAGGACAGACTAGAAGGAAGCATGTCTTGGAGATGACAGGGCATAAGTGTACAATTAAGAGGAGGGAAGTGTATGCCGATTTTTCAGATTTAGCCCAAACTCTTGGTTCCTTTTTCTACACCCACCTAAGGCTATAACTGCTTTTAAAACATTTTATTAGGAGAACTCTAGTATATAAAAAGACAGCCTACCTGCAGAGGAACAAAAATCTCTCTCTTAATGGAGGATGAACAGTGAGACTGATTTAAGTGCAGCCACTTAGAAACATAAGAGAATGAAGAGTGTTAGCGTGTTTGTCATTAATGTGCCAAGTTCAAGTGTTTAGTTGCCTTTGGAATTGGCCTTCTATTTCCAGAAGTTCTTTTGTCACTAGGATTCCAACTCTAATAAAAATGCCTGACCAACTTCTACTGTCAGAGAGTGAGAAGTTGGATCCTGTCCACTCTGCAAAGAGCCCTGGTTTAGGGAAGCTTCCTTGGCTGCCATTTCATAAACAGACTTGCTGTGACTCTCTGACGTTGTGTCCCTATGTCCAGACTCCTTGGCAGCACTGAGAAGAAAACAGCAATTCTTTCCTAAATCTACACTGATGACTAAGCCTGTCTCATGAAAGGCAGATGGACACATAAGCAGGAGGCATTGTTGCTGTTCTTCATTCTCAAAAAACCTAAAAATTGTCTTAAGCTAAACACGACTCTCTTCTTCTCATATACATCCTCATAGTCCAAGGAAGTCAAACAAGTTCAGTATTAGCAACAACTACACAACTCTCAAAACAGTTTATGCATCATATCACATAATGCTAAGGAAGAGCCAATTGCAGAGTAAGCCCTTATTATATAGTAAATGGCTTCACACTATACAAAATGTCATACTAGTTTATTTTCTGTCTTTGAAGATAGGGAAGAAATTAATATCTTCCTTCAATAAAGGAGAACAATGATAATCAGAAATTAAATGGTTTAGCCAAGGTCATATGAGGACAGCCAGGAAAAAGAAAAATAGACTCTTATCTGTCATTTTACCTCCAGGAAAGTTTTAGTGTTCTTTAGTCTATTCATTTATTTTAAAGAATAAGAAGAATCAAAATTAAGCTTTTAAAAGACATCACGGAAGTAGAAAAAGCATCTCAGTGGTTTTAATAATTATATAAACACAAGTTAAAATAAATATAATACAATTATTAAATTGGTTAAAAATGAGTATGTTCAAAATTTTCCAATGACAAATAGGGTACAGTTTAATATGTGCTATAATTAATAATTATAATTAATGGTTATCAGAAAAGTCTTTGTAAAGAGATATAATAAGCAAAAGTCCTCTGAATTACATTACAGTTGATTCAGTACTATAAATCAAAGTATTTATGTTAAGGAGATAAATTAAAAAATAAAAAAAAATTTGGTTTTCTCCGAGGGTATTACTTATGATGTTAAAATATTAGAAAATATCTAATACTATTTGAAGGACAAATGGTTTTAAAATGTAGTGTATAAACATAATGTTTAAACAGATGAAAAGCTAAAAATGAAGATTATTACCTGTGGAAAGCTGTACACATATTTATATTAGGTTATTAAGTACAAAACAGAAAATAAAATGTGTGTAAAGATAATTATAATACCATATTGAATCAAATTTTTTAATCACAGTTATTTGTGCACAAGGATTTAAGAATTCAAGAAATATACTACAAATTATTAATGCTTTTATTAATATATTAATTATGTTAATAACCATGGAAAAAATTTGGAGGTGTGATTGGCATATTGTCTATAAATTATGTAAATAGTCCATTTAAATATCATAAATTTATCAATAAACACTTTTGGAAGAAATAAATGTAATTTATATTAGATCAGTTTGGGAACTGAAAGCAGAATAAAATCAGTTGGTCAAACACTGATGGTTCACACTCAGAAATAGTTCACTAATGCGCTAACTTCAATATTTTTACTTCAATAATGAAAAAAATTACAGGAATACTGACTGATGCCGAGGGGCTGGGTTCTTTCTGCTTTGCACAGAATGCCTTTTACACATCAATTTCGAGCACTATAACAGGAAGCAATCTTGTCAGGTCACACAGGAAGTACTTCCTGTTCTAAGTCTTTTCATTCCTAGACACAGACACACAACCGTAGGTTTATCCTTAGGCAAAATCTGTCTTCAAAGAAATTTGTTTCATCTTATTCTCCCTGTGTCCTTGACTTCTTTACACTTCCAGTGTGCAGCTTTCTGAACTCGTGAAACTTAGAAGAAATTACAGTGCTAATGCATCCATATGAGAGCATGAGGGCTGTGTGCTGAACTCAGAATCAATAACGAGGGCCCTTGAACAAAGCTTACGTGAATTCTGGATTCATTCAACATCCTTATACGGAACAAAAGTAAAAGAGGTAGCAAGGTTTTCAGAACTGGAATTCATCCAGCTCTTTCAATCACGTGATTAAGCACAATACAGTATCATGCAACCAAAGCAGGGGAGAAGTGCCATGAACTATCAGAAATGTTCGTCTGCAACAGAGATATAAATTCAGATATTAAATAGGTCCACACATCATCATCTTTTTTTTCCAAACATCTTAAAATTAATCTCACAATAACACTTTTTCCATTAATGACCTGAGCAGGTCAAATGTGCTTTAAAAGATTGCTTCCTTTCAATGTAAGGCGTCATCAGGGGGAAAAAAAAATCCCACAAACCATCCCCATTATACGGATGACAATACTAAGGCTTAGGAAGATCAGGTATCTTTCCCAAGGAGACAAAGCATTAAGTGTCAGAACCAAATTGAAGCTTATGTTCTTCTCAGAGTGTTATATTACTTCCTGATACTGTATCTAAGAGTTTTGGCTAATAAGAGATAATAAGACTCCCTGAAGAAGGCTGGCACAAAAGCACCACTGAAGCAGCAATACAGTTAAAAAGGGACGACACACACAGACAAGAGTGATACACACACACATGCAGACACCGTGGCCTGTAATTAATAAGTGGAAGAACAGACAGCTCTAGATGCTTCTGCAGCTCCCCTGAGATTTCTGAGAGAGCTCACAGCACTGAGCCATTCCAGAGTGGCGGTCCTGGGTCACTGTGAACGTCACTTTGTGCACACCATTTAAACGTGTCAGAGGGGAACCACGCAATGCCTTCCTTTTTCAATAAAGATGTCAAGGGTTGGTATTTAAAATATGTGCTAAAGTGGTAAGCTCTTGTTTTCTATACTTTTCTTATCTATAAATGTTTCTTCCAGAGCAAAAGAACATTATTGTGTTTGTCACATTTTGTACAAATTAAAACCATGTAGTGCTTCCTCAACAGGTAAGTAGATCTAGAAATGTAAACGACTAAATGCCTGGCTCTGACACTGATGTGGGACATAAGAAATCACTGTCCTCCTCTCCATCTGTCTGCATTCTCACTTTCTTGGCCAAAGTTAAGCAAATGACTTCCAGATATAAATTTTTCCAACTGTAATAGTATATTGCTTTTTAATCATGCTGTATATTTTTGAGTTGCTTTTTAAAGGAAAATGAAATAATATTGAGTTTAAACGATGCAAAATGATGTTTAATCCAATAATATCTTAATCTTGAAGAACTTTGAGATATGTACTAGAAGCCCCAGCATGACAATAAGCTAGAGATGTCAGTTTATGGAACGATACCAACCAAGGAAGGAACTCCAAAAAACTTGAATTTTGGAAATTTTCAAAGTTATGATTCCCAATACAGCACACCCAAGAATTTGTTTGGGTTGGAATGTCTTGGTACCAAAGGTCAAACCATGACGCCTTTGTGGATTTGCAAAAAAAAAGAAAAAGTGTTATTTTCCCCATTAACTTGCTAGGCAGATCAAAACCACGCAGAAAGAGAGCAAAGAAATACATTTCAGATTTTAAAAGTTTGCACTTATCCATCAACTTCCTCTTTGAAAGGATAGCTGAATGGATTAAATAGCCCTACCAAAAAGGTTAAGATAATGTGACTGAGAATTTTTTAAATCACCAGCTATATTACTAAAACATAGTTGTGTTATTTAAAAAAAAGAAAATAATCACTATTAGCTCCATAAGCATTGCTATTAATTTCCCTTTAAGGTGCTCTGTTATAAAGGGCTCTTTTGCATCACAGAAAAACCTACCTGATAAGGAGGTCACTTAAGAAACACTCGGAATAGACAAGAAATACAGGTGTTTGGAAGAGCACTGACAAGTCTTTCCCTAAGACACGATCAGGTGCATTCAGGTTGATATGGCTGTAGACAAAGTTTCCCTAATAAATACCTGGATTTCAAATGCAAGGTGAAATTTAGCAATAAGAGGTATGACTCCACTGCTTGGAAAGCCTTTTGATCCCTGAGGGAGAAGCATGTTAAGCTTGTATATACTGTACATGCATGAAAGCCATAGGTTGGCGATCTTCCCAGCAGACTCACTTACTGAAAGGAGCCCTACCTACCTCAATGCACTTTTTGACTTCATATGAGTTGGAAATACAGGGGGAAAGTACGATAGGTCAACTTACACAAAAACATACCTTTTGAAGTTTGCTTAGGAATAAAGATCAGCTGGCTACATTCAATCTGGAGTGACTGGCATTGGGCCAAAGAAGACAAGGCCCTTGAGAGAAAATGTGGTGGAACTTACAATGTAGCAGGGCTCACAGTAGGCCTTCTTCTCCACGGCATAGAAAGGCTGCCCTCGGAGCTTGTTGTTGCAGATGATGCAGGTAAAACAGTCCACGTGGAAGACCTGATCCATGGCAGTGCATCCTGTGCCTTCTCCAACTACATTTTCCCCACAGCGAGCACAGCGGCCTGAGAGGAAAAAAGAGCACTGGTTGTTAAGGACAAACAAGGAATTCCTCACCCCTCCTAAAGAAGCCAATATGGGAGAGGCAGCAGATTGATTAATACTGCCAGCGGCAGTAATAGAACCATGCAAGAAAGATTATCATACAGTCACCACTCACTCTGTAAAGCCAGGGTGATAGGACTTTATGAGTCAATTGAGGAGATTGAGCAAAGGTCACAGAGAAAGTGGTAAGACAGAACTCAGGTATCTGACTCCGAGACCAGTGTTTGGCCTCTAACACTACTTACGAGTGTGTATAAAGGAAACAACTCAGGATGCTTGGACTGAAAGGTATAATCGAAGAAACAGTCCAGGAAAGCCTTTCTCCTTGGAGACTTCATGCATCCAGTCAGAATGTGAAGGATCTGGGTCCAACTCAAACTTTGATTCCTCTCCCAAAAGCCCTGGTGGCTAAACTTTAGTAATGAGCCCTCATTGGTAGGTAAATCATGAGGTAGCCTCTTTTATTTCCAGATCACTCTGACTGTTAAGAAAATTCTCCATCATGTTGAGCCAGCATGCATCTTCATTCTAACGGCTACCTAAAAGCGCTAGCTCTGTGTTCTGGGGTCTTGCGAAAGAAGTCTCATCTCTTGGACCTGACACCTTTTTAGACACTACAGTTCAGTTAGCACGGCATCTAACATATGTTCTGAGTTTGAACATCCCTAAATCATAAAAATCCCAAGTACTGCGGGCTTTTGACTCCCTCATGGCCCTGGTTCTTCCATGAACCACTACCTAGAATGCTGCAAAATTATAGCATTCTTAAATTGATTAACAGACATTTGCCCTGTATATGGACATAAAATTAGGTTTGACACACTGTTTTAAATTATAACAATAAAATATAATTTAAGACAAAAGAGACACTGTGGTAGTTGTGATTGATAGGTTTTCCTGTCTCCATCATGGGAATCTTGAGTCAGAAGGCAAGTCCTCATCACATTTGCTTCTTTAGCCTTTGTCTTCAAATTTAAAAATACCAAAAGATAATTACAGACCACTGGGGAATGTCAACAATAATTTTTTCATGCTTTTTCACACAACTTATAATAAAGGTAGTTTCATGCACGCTGGACATTTTTCTCAGTGCTCCCCATGTATCAGTAACAACTTATGTGTAGATAATGTTATCATTTCTATTGTGCAGGTGAGGAAAAAGTCATAAAAAATGTTTCAATACGATCAAATCCAGGCAGTTTAGCTTCAGTTTCTGTGCTCTTACCTACTCTGCGGTTTTGTTTTTTCCTACTTGTATGCACCAGGATTAATACAGATTTGGCATTATGGCTTGTGCTGGAGACATTTCTCACTGAAGACTGCTTTCAGCACTCCATCACACTGGATTGACAACCATCTCACACTCAAAAAATGAAAGGGCTCAATGTCTCAACTTGGGGAAAAGAAGAAGTAAATATACTTCTAATTCTCTCTGGCTGCATTTGGCCCTGGAGAGCATTTCTTCATATTCTATTGCAGGATTGGAATGTGTCTTTTAAATAAGGCTCAAACTAGCCATGTTTTTTTTTTCTAAGAAATGAGAACTATTAAGCATTGGAAAAATAGTTAAGTTCTTGGAAACTGAGCTGTCTCTGGTAGAACTGATATTATTACAAAGGTGCAATATCATATCCTTGACATTTGATAAAACGTCTGTATAATAATTGTAATAGAGTCTTTATGACTGGGCTTACAAACTTCTACCCAAGAGTTGTTGTACTATTTTTATTATGTTGTATAATTTAGAAAAATATCTTTAGAGCATTGTACTTCCCCTGCTTATAGTGTAAAAATTAAGGTAGTTTCTATAACACTATTTTGTGATTACTTTGGAAACAGAAAAACCAAAAACCTTATTGGTGAATAAAGTGAATAGGCCCTGTTTGAAAATGATACTAAACTTCTGAGACCTCCCTATCACCAAATGATAAAATTCCATTACAGAAAAAATATTGAGGATTAAGGGGCAGTTAGATTACCAATCCATGTGATCATTAAGAACACATAGGATTTCTATGAAAATTGTAATGTTACATTATAAACTTGTTAAATGCAGGTCAACAAAATTATTTTTCTATATTAATATCTGGCTTTCTGGAAATAAAAATGGATCACTTAATAAGATATCAGGAACCCCTGGGGATCTGAGGATGACAGTTTGCAAAACAAAATAAAACAAAACAAAAAAATATTCTAGTAAAATGGTGTCAACTATTGGTCTAGGTGGTCTGCTAGGCAATTAGCTATAGTAATTTGATTTATATCAGAGATGGCAACCTTTTAGAGCTTTCAATGATACAAACAGCCCACTGTTTGCCATAGCTTTGGTACCACTGAACTAGAACCTGAATATACAAACTAACATCTGGAATCTAAGAGCTTGAACCTCCATGACAAGGAGAGTTTCTTAGCTATCCACAAAGATAAGGGAACAAATTTCAATCGCTGCTTTAGAGGGCAAGGTTAGGGTGGAAATATAAGCTTTGAAACTGTCCATCTATTCAGCAGATACCGAGTGCTACTCCTTGTCTAGTACTATAGTCTGCCTCTGTATGACATGCAGAAATGGGTTAGATGTTAGCTGTGAATTTTAGATTCACTCTGAGACTACATACATTCAAAAATCACATGGCAAAATGTGCAACATGTGAGAAGAAAGCGCTATGAAAATATAAAAGGAAAATCACATATAAGACACTGGAGTTTGCCTTTAAAGAATGGAATTTTGATAGGTAGAGATGGACAAGAGAAAAAACATCTAGATTTTTCAAAGAAGGAATGTGTTTCTGTGACTTCCAGGATGCAAAAACACTAAGGTGCTTTGTGATGGTACAAAAGGTTTTGTCTTCTTAGCTATGAAAGTAGATATTTCCATTATGTTTTGGAGAAAATTCTTCCTGAGTGTGTCAGGCTAATACACTGGACTGAGCCATGACTAGCCCTGCTGTCTTCTGTACTTTTCCTATCCTTGGGATAAATTGGGGGCACCAGCCTTGAGGGCAGTCAGTCTGGCACCTTAAAATTCACAAGCACAGAGAAAAGAGCGAAGAATCAAAATTAAAAATAGCCCTACACATCAGCAACACAGAAAAGGTGCCCGAATGTTCTCCTTTCACATTAACAAAAATTGACAAACTTTGCCTCAGAATGTAAAGAAAGCTACTTAAGCATACTGTAGTTTTGCCCTGAGAAGGACTCACACTACACTATTAAAAGCATACCACAACCTTAACGCCCTTTTAGGCAAGGATCTCAGCACAAAAACCAACAATGAAAACAAACAAAGGAAAAACAAAAAACCCAGAGGAATGATACCAAACTTCAAGGTACCCAAGCCTGGAGGACACAACAGAGTAAGGTAGTGAGAAGCTGGGGCCCAGACTGGGGGTGGGGGGTCAGTAGGAGTTCTGTGGCAATGCTCAGCATAGCAGGTCAAAGGAACCAATGGTTGAGAATGAGGGAGCCTGTGCACTGTCAGTCAGTCAAGTCACATGAAATCTTGACCCACCAAAAGCCTGCGTATGTGAGTGCATGTGTGTGTGGTCTTAGATTGTCTGTGGTGCCAGCCGTAGGCTCTTCCTACAACTCACCCGCTCTTGCCCACGTACAGCAACCTCGTCCATGTCTCTGAAGACCACGGCACTATCTAAACAAGGTTCCATGACTCATAGGCCACCTAAATTCACTTACTCTTACAAAGGGAAAAATCTTCAGGCAAGTTCCAGTAATCGAGCTAAATCTGGAAGGTTAGAATTTGAGCATCTTGTTATAGTCAAGGCATCACTGGAGAGTGACATTCCTTAAAATCAACACATTAAGCCAGCGAGATCAAGTAATGGGATATGTTTTCATATTTATTTAGTATCATTATTTTGAATTTTTTTATAATTTGCAAAGGGCTGGGGATGAAGCTCAATGCAAAGACCTGATAACCAGTGCTGCAACAACAATAAAACATTTTTAAATCAAGTTTACTGGTACATTTCAGGTATACAATACAGTTACATTCATAATTGGGAACTTGTGCCTTTACATGATGTAAATTGGTTCTTTTTTCCCCATTCCCCTGCCCAACCTTCAACCCCTCTACCCCTCCCTATTTACAAAGATTGTTTCCATTTTTTCCTTTTCTCATATTTTTTCCTTTCCCTTCTTTCCTTTCCTCTACTCCTTCCACTTCCCCTACCACTTTAGACCTTTTCTTATTTCACATTATCAATTATGAGTTTTTATCCTTATTTCCACTTTTAGTTTCTCACACAAGAGAAAACTATTTAGTATTTATACTCGTATGTCCTATTTATTTCACTTAAGACTATGGCCTCAGAATGCATCCATTTAGTTGTAAATGTCTCTAGTGTCTCATTATTTATGGCTGAGTAGTACATACATATCTATAGCTATATATCACATATATAACATCTTCTTTATCCAGTCTCCAGTTGGTGGGCAGTTGGACTGTTTCCAAGCTTTAGCTAATACAAAATGTGCAGCTATAAACATGGGTGTACATATACTGCTGTGATATGATTCTTTTAATTCTTTTGGGAATATACCCAGCAGAGGAATAGCTGGGTAAAATAGGAACTCGACTCCTAGTTTTTTGGACCTCCATATTGATTTCCACAGTGGTTGTACCAGTCTGCACTCCCATCAACAAAAGGGTTCCTATCTCCCCACAACCCCACCAGCACTTTTTTATTGGTTGATTTCTTGATAGCAGCCGTTCTTTCTGGGGTGAGGTGGAATCTCAGTGTTGTTTTCATCTGCATCTCTCAAATGGTTGGTGATATTGAACATTTTTTCATATATTTATTTGCTGCTTTTACTTCTTTCTTTGAAAAATGTCTATTCATTTCAGATGCCCATTTTGAATTGGGTCTTTATATTTGGGGCATTTTATTTTTTAAAGTTCTTTATATATGGTAGATAGTAGTCCTCTGTCTGATGAACAGCTGAT